CTAAGGGGACAGGACAACTGCACCGCATCAAAGGGATGATGGACAGGGCAATGTACCCTCAAATCTTGGGTGAGACCTTCTTCCCTCAGCCAGGGCATTGAAAATGGGCCGTGGTGGATGGGTGTTCCAGCATGACAATGACCCAAAACACATGGCCAAGGCAACAAAGGAGCGGCTCAAGAAGAAGCACATTAAGGTCCTGGAGTGGCCTAGCCAGTCTCCAGACCTTCATCCGATTGAAAATCTGTGGAGGGAGCTGAAAGTTCAAGTTTCCAAACCTCAGCCACCAAACCTGAATGATTTGGAGAGGATCTGCCAAGAGGAGTGGGCCAAAATCCCTCCTGAAGTGTGCGAACCTGGGGGCCAACTCCAGGAAACGTCTGACCTCTGTGATTGCCAACAAGGGATTGGCCACCAAGTACTAAGTCATGTTTTGTGAAGGGGATCAAATCCTTCTTTCCCTCATGAACATGCAGATCAGTCATCATTTGTTAGACGCATTTCTGCTGAATTTGTTGTTGTATTCTGTCTCTCAGTGTTACACCGAACATTCCATTGTTAGAATCATTTCTGTGTGAGGGGCGAACATTCCATTGTTAGACCGATCATTTCTGTGTGAGGGGGGGCGAACATTCCATTGTTAGACCGATCATTTCTGTGTGAGGGGCGAACATTCCATTGTTAGACCGATCATTTCTGTGTGAGGGGCGAACATTCCATTGTTAGACCGATCATTTCTGTGTGAGGGGCGAACATTCAGCATCAGCCGGGGAGCAAATACGCATTTCCTTCACTGTATATATATATATGCAGACTTCATATTTCTCTTTATGACATCACAAGTTACAAAAGTTGGAGGTTACATTGTTAAATATCTGTAAAAGTAACAAAGGATACAATGTAATTGGCACACACTTTTATAACTTGTGATTTTATAAAGGGAAAAATAATGTCTGTATTTTTCTACAATTTATTTTATGAACATTTCATGAAGAGATATATAAAGTTTTTTTTTAATACAATTTATTTATTATTTAATTTTTTAACAACTCTTTGCACATTGGGGTCACAGTGGGGCAAGGCATTCTGTGAACGGAGGAAGTGCCGAGCAAGTGCCCTCTTTTGATCCGTGTACTACAGACAGAAATATACCTCCTCCATTCATAAAAAGCTTTGCATTCTTTCAATGCATGCAAGATGTTTTGTGATTGAGGGAGGCACAGATGAACATCACAGTCTCCCTTTCTCCAATCACAGAACACCTTACAATCAGTAAAAAGAATGCCAGGATTTTTTATGCATGGGGCAGGTGTAGTTCTGGCTGCAGTACATTGATCACAAGAGGACAGCTGCTCTGCACCTCCTCCATTCAGCAAAAGCCTTGCATTCCCTTCACCAAATGACAGGCAATCTGTGATCGTCGGAGGTGCAGATAAACATCTCTATCTCCCCTCCTCCAGTCTCAGAAAACCTTAAACTCTCTTCACTGAATACAAGGCATTCTGTGGTCAGAGAAGGGGTGTTTGTGACATTTACTTGCACCTCCTCCAATCACAGAACACCTTGCAGTCATTAAAAGGAGGAGGTACAGATAAACATCTCAAATCTCCCCTACTTCAGTCTCGAACACCTTAAACTCTCGTCATTGAATACAAGTTGTCCTGTGGTTGAAAGAGGGGAGACTATAATGTTCACCTACACCTCCTCCAATTATAAAGCACCCTGGATTCTGGAGGTGTACTTTCATAGGAATACTCTGATCCAAGAAAGTTACTCATTGTAAACCTCTTCAAATCATAGAAATCCTTGGCCGCAGTAGACCGATCAGAAGAAGATGAATGAAGTCGGCACCTCCTCCATTCAGAAAAAGCCTTCCCTTCTTTTCAATGAAATGCAAGGAATTCTGTGGTCAGAGAAGGGGTGTTTGTGACATTTACTTGCACCTCCTCCAATCACAGAACACATTGCAGTCATTAAAAGGAGGAAGTACGGATAAACATTTCAAATCTTGTCACTGAATACAAGGGGTCCTGTGGTTGAAAGAGGGGAGATTATAATGTTCACCTACACCTCCAATTATAGAGCACCCTGGATTCTGGAGGTGTAATTTTAAAGGAATACTCTGATCCAAGAAAGATACTCATTGTAAACCTCTTCAAATCATAAAAATCCTTGGCCGCAGTAGACCGATCACAAGAATATGAATGAAGTCACCACCTCCTCCATTCAGACAAAGCCTTCCCTTCTTTTCAATGAAATGCAAGGCATTCTGTGGTCAGAGAAGGGGTGTTTGTGACATTTACTTGCACCTCCTCCAGTCACAGAACACCTTGCAGTCATTAAAAGGAGGAGGTATGGATAAAAAACATCTGAAATCTCCCCTCCTCCAGTCTCAGAACACCTTAAACTCTCGTCATTGAATACAAGGTGTCCTGTGGTTGAAAGAGGGGAGACTATAATGTTCATCTACACCTCCTCCAATTATAAAGCACCCTGGATTCTGGAGGTGTACTTTCATAGGAATACTCTGATCCAAGGAAGTCACTCATTGTAAACCTCTTCAAATCATAAAAATCCTTGGCCACAGTAGACCGATCGCAAGAAGATGAGTGAAGTCGGCACCTCCTCCATTCAGAAAAAGCCTTCCCTTCTTTTCAATGAAATGCAAGGAATTCTGTGGTCAGAGAAGGGGTGTTTGTGACATTTACTTACACCTCCTCCAATCACAGAACACCTTGCAGTCATTAAAAGGAGGAGGTACGGATAAACATCTCAAATCTCCCCTCCTCCAGTCTCAGAACACCTTACATTCATCGAAAGGGTGCAAGGCTTTTTAAGAATGGAGGAGGTGCCAAGCCTCCTGTTATATCGGTACCAGGGGCGGACTGACCATTTGGAAACTCGGGCACTGCCTGAGGGCCCAGGGTCAGTAGAAGGCCCCATGAGATGCCCCTGGTACCTTTTTCATAGGCTTTTTTGAGTTTGGGCAAGGACACAGGGGCCCCATGATCCCCTGTTGCCCGGGGGCCCCATGATCCCCTATTGCCCTGGGGCCCCATGAGTTGTCAGTCCTCCCCTGATTACATGCCAGCAGTGGACTGACCATTCAAGCACTCGGGCACTGCCCGATGGCCTGGGGTCAGTAGGGGGCCCCATGAAATGCCCCTGGTACCTTTTTATAGTCTTTTTTGGGTGTGCTTTGAGTTTGGGCAAGGACACAGGGGCCCCATGATCCCGTATTGCCCAGGGGCCCCATGAGTTGTCAGTCTGCCCCTGATCCAATCACAGAGATTTATTTTTTTAATTAACCTCCAAAAAAATGGTTGTCGAAATCTAAAAAAAAAATATATAATTCCCCGACTCCCAAAAAAATGTACTTCAGCCAAAAAAGGGTTCCATGGAAGGCAGCGCTGATTGCTGATGGCGGCGGTGGAGCTGGGCGCAGCCGTATCCCGGTGCCAAGTTCGGAGTGCCGTGGGGGAGGGATGAGTCACCGGGACTGTTCAGCAGAGCAGCGGATGGCACGTAAACGCGCATCCTGTTTTCGTTATACTGGATGGAAACATTTGGGAAACGAACGCCATTTTTTTTATTTTCAGCTCTTCTTGTGATTTTTTATGAAACGCAGACATTCAGAATTGTAAATCTTTGCACATGTTTATCCTGCCGTTGTCATTGGTGTGCGAGAGGAAAAAAGATAAAGAGACCCTGTCACCGGAACGTTCACCCCAACAACATTCGATTGTATGGGTATGAAACGGGGGTGGACTGACAACTCATGGGGCCCCCAGGCAATAGGGGATCATGGGGCCCCTGTGTCCTGGCCCGTACTCAAAGCACACCAAAAAAAGCCTATAAAAAGGAACCAGGGGCATTTCATGGGGCCCCCTACTGACCCTTGGCCATCAGGCAGTGCCCAAGTGCTCGAATGGTCAGTCCACTGCTGGCATGTAATCAGGGGCAAACTGACAACTCATGGGGCCCCCGGGCAATAGGGGATCATGGGGCCCCTGTGTCCTTGCCCAAACTCAAAAAAGCCTATGAAAAAGGTACCAGGGGCATCTCATGGGGCACCCTACTGACCCCGGACCCTCGGGCAGTGGCCGAGTGCTCGAATGGTCAGTCCACCGCTGGCATGTAATCAGGGGCGGACTGACAAGTCATGGGGCCCCCAGGCAATAGGGGATCATGGGGCCCCTGTGTCCTGGCCCGTACTCAAAGCACACCAAAAAAAAGCCTATAAAAAGGTACCAGGGGCATTTCATGGGGCCCCCTACTGACCCTTGGCCATCAGGCAGTGCCCAAGTGCTCGAATGGTCAGTCCACCGCTGGCATGTAATCAGGGGCAAACTGACAACTCATGGAGCCCCTGGGCAATAGGGGATCATGGGGGCCCCTGTGTCCTTGCCCAAACTCAAAAAAGCCTATAAAAAAGGTACCAGGGGCATTTCATGGGGCCCCCTACTGACCCTGGGCTCTCAGGGCAGTGCCCGAGTGCTGGAATGGTCAGTCCGCCCCTGGCATGGAATGTATTTTATGCGTGATAGAAGCCTCCCTTGCGTAGATATCCATAATATAGTCCATAAGCACTAAGGCTGGTTCTAGGTGCCGCCATCTTGGATGTCATGTAGACTCAGAGCTGTCACTCAGGTGACTCTCTATAGCAGACTTCCTCAGCCTTCCCCAACAGAGGAACCCTTGACAATAACTTTCTGGTTTCTGGGAACCTCTAGCAACCTCTGGAGGAATCCTGATTGAGGAACCTTGTTCTATAGCAATCTCTCTAAACCTTTTTACTTCAGAGGAACCTTTGAAATATTTCAAGGTCTCAGGGCACCCCAGATAAAAACAATTTATTGGTGGTCAGTGAGAAGAATGTCCCTTACATTGGGGGTCAGTGGGAAGAATGCCCCTTACATTGGGGGGTCAGTGGGAAGAATGCCCCTTACATTGGTGATCAGTGGGAAGAATGTCCCTTACATTGGTGGTCAGTGGGAAGAATGTCCCTTACATTGGGGGTCAGTGGGAAGAATGCCCCTTACATTGGTGATCAGTGGGAAGAATGTCCCTTACATTGGGGTCAGTGGGAAGAATGTCCCTTACATTGGTGGTCAGTGGGAAGAATGCTCCTTACATTGGTGGTCAGTGGGAAGAATGTCCCTTACATTGGAGGTCAGTGGGAAGAATGCTCCTTACATTGGTGGTCAGTGGGAAGAATGTCCCTTACATTGGGGGTCAGTGGGAAGAATGTTCCTTACATTGGTGGTCAGTGGGAAGAATGTCCCTTACATTGGTGATCAGTGGGAAGAATGTCCCTTACATTGGTGGTCAGTGGGAAGAATGTCCCTTACATTGGGGGTCAGTGGGGAGAATGTCCCTTACATTGGTGATCAGTGGGGAGAATGTCCCTTACATTGTTGATCAGTGGGAAGAATGTCCCTTACATTGGGGGTCAGTGGGAAGAATGTCCCTTACATTGGGGGTCAGTGGGAAGAATATCCCTTACATTGGGGGTCAGTGGGAAGAATGTCCCTTACATTGGTGATCAGTGGGAAGAATGTCCCTTACATTGGGGGTCAGTGGGAAGAATGTCCCGTACATTGGTGGTCAGTGGGAAGAATGTCCCTTACATTGGGGGTCAGTGGGAAGAATGTCCCTTACATTGGGGGTCAGTAGGAAGAATGTCCCTTACATTGGTGATCAGTGGGGAGAATGTCCCTTACATTGGGGGTCAGTAGGAAGAATGTCCCTTACATTGGTGGTCAGTGGGAAGAATGTCCCTTACATTGGTGATCAGTGGGAAGAATGTCCCTTACATTGGTGGTCAGTGGGAAGAATGTCCCTTACATTGGTGGTCAGTGGGAAGAATGTTCCTTACATTGGGGGTCAGTGGGAAGAATGTCCCTTACATTGGGGGTCAGTGGGGGAAGAATGTCCCTTACATTGGTGGTCAGTGGGAAGAATGTCCCTTACATTGGTGGTCAGTGGGAAGAATGTCCTCTACATTGGTGGTCAGTGGGAAGAATGTCCCTTACATTGGTGGTCAGTGGGAAGAATGTCCCTTACATTGGGGTCAGTGGGAAGAATGTCCCTTACATTGGTGGTCAGTGGGAAGAATGTCCCTTACATTGGTGGTCAGTGGGAAGACTGTCCCTTACATTGGTGGTCAGTGGGAGGAATGCTAAAAAGTTTAGAGTCTCACAGCAGCTAATAAGCAGAACATTATTCCTAATCCCAGCTCAGCTAATTAAAATGTGTCCTTCAGCCGTAGCAGACAACAGACCAATAAGTGTCCTGTATACCCGTGGACATGGTTGAGGATTTCCAGCTGTTACATTCCATAAGAGAGGCTGGAATTCATCCAGCTTGCAAAATCTCAAGATTCAATAACAATTCAACGCAGTAACGTTGCAGTCCACCGTCTACAAAAAAGTGGATGTTTACATCCACATTGATTAAAAAAAAAAGAAAAAAAGTGGAACTTCACTTTCTCAATCACCACGGACTATTTGTTTTCTTTATGCTGCTAGCAGTAGTACATAGGAAAGTATATCCTAGATTGTAAGCTCCTGGACAGGGCCCTCCTATCCCTCTTGTATTGAACTGTATTGTTGCTGTATTGTCTCCCTTATATTGTAAAGTGCTGAGCAAACTGTTGGTGCCATAAATCCTGTATAATAATAATACTAATAATAAATATATAAATCCTGTATAAATAATAATAATAAATATAATAATCCTGTATAATAATAATAATATATAAATCCTGTATAATAATAATAAATAATAATATATAAATCCTGTATAATAATAATATATAAATCCTGTATAATAATATATAATATATAAATCCTGTATAAATAATAATATATAAATCCTGTATAATAATAATAATAATAATAATATATAAATCCTGTATAATAATAATAATAATAATATATAAATCCTGTATAATAATAATAATAATAATATATATAATCCTGTATAATAATAATAATAATAATTTATATAAATCCTGTATAATAATAATAATAAAAATAATAATATATGAAATGTATAATAATATATAAATAATAATAATAATATATATATAAATCCTGTATAATAATAATATATAAATCCTGTATATATAATAATAATAATAATATATAAATCCTGTATAATAATAATAAGTATATCATATTTACTTGTTTTAGACTATTTTTTTTGGTATTTCTTCAGTTACTTCCTGGTTTCCATGCCTAGGCAAATGATGTCATACATCCCAGGAGTCTTCAGGAGGGAAGTGTTCTCAGCTCAGCCTATGCCTGAGCTAAGGGCAGGTGGATTGCAGGTAATAAATGCTACGTGAACCATCTGCCCTTACTCAAATGGCCACTGCCAGGGGGAGTTTTTCCAAAATGATTTCTCAGCAAAATAAATTGCGGAGGCAGGGACGCTTGGAGGAGGTTTGCTTTGAATATTAAAAATTATATAGCATTTTTGGTTTGTCGCACTCAGATGCAGCGCAGTTCCACCTTACGATCGTAGTTGCGAAGCTTTAAAGCCTCCAAAAAAAAATTTAAATTTAAATAATTTAGTAGGATTAATCAAATCCTATTAAATTATTTTAATTTTTTTTTTGAGCCTTTGAGGCTTCGCAACTACGCTCGTTGGATCGCGGTGGAATGATCTTTTATTCTAGGCGCTAGTTCTCAACAAGAAAAAAAATGAAACATCCAGTGCATTGGTGAAACGTTGTCATCAGGACAGGGAAGTGAGGGGGAATCTCTCTAAAGGTGTCCCAGATGGCAGTATTATCCAATGGGAGGGGGAGGGGGGGGGTGCAAATCTTTCCCCACTCCATCCAAATCTCATAAAACAAAAGATTGGTAAAAAAAAAAAAACAATATTGCTACGTTGTCATGGATACCTTTGGTTTGCTGGAAAGTGCCAGGCACACCAAAGAGTCCAGAATCAGGAGCCGGGGGCGGAAATCATGCCGGAGCTGGTTGTCTGACAACATTTACAAGGAAGGGTGTGGATGGTAATTGCCTTATTATGGGGTGATTGTATCCTTGGCCATCCAGCTAAATCAGGATTCCTGCAGATATGAGATTATCCCGGAGATAACAGCTCAGCAGACAGTCATGTTCTAGATCAGTGGTCCTCAAACTGCGGCCCAGGGGAAGGATTGTGGCCCCTTGCTTGCTTTTATCTGGCCCTTGAGGCACTATTCCCCCCACTGACATCAACAACAGGGTGTAATCCCTGTCACTGACACCAATGATGGGGCACTATTCCTCCCACTGACACCAATAATGGGGCACTATTCCTCCCACTGACACCAATAATGGGGCACTATTCCTCCCACTGACACCAATGATGGGGCACTATTCCTCCCACTGATACCAATGATGGGGCACTATTCCTCCCACTGACACCAATGATGGGGCACTATTCCTCCCACTGACACCAATGATGGGGCACTATTTCCTCCCACTGATACCAATGATGGGGCACTATTCCTCCCACTGACACCAATGATGGGGCACTATTCCTCTCCACTGATACCAATGATGGGGCACTATTCCTCCCACTGACACCAATGATGGGGCACTATTCCTCCCACTGATACAATGATGGGGCACTATTCCTCCCACTGACACCAATGATGGGGCACTATTCCTCCCACTGACACCAATAATGGGGCACTATTCCTCCCACTGACACCAATGATGGGACACTATTTCTTCCCCCCTGACATGATGGGGCACTATTCCTCCCACTGACACCAATGATGGGGCACTATTCCTCCCACTGACACCAATATGGGGCACTATTCCTCCCACTGACACCAATGATGGGGCACTATTCCTCCCACTGACACCAATGATGGGGCACTATTCCTCCCACTGATACCAATGATGGGGCACTATTCCTCCTACTGACACCAATGATGGGGAACTATTCCTCACACTGACACCAATGATGGGGCACTATTCCTCCCACTGACACCAATGATGGGGCACTATTCCTCCCACTGACACCAATGATGGGGGCGCTATTCCTCCTACTGACACCAATGATGGGGCACTATACCTCCCACTGACACCAATGATGGGCACTATTCCTCCCACTGATACCAATGATGGGGACACTATTCCTCCCACTGACACCAATGATGGGGCACTATTCCTCCCACTGACACCAATGATGGGGCACTATTCCTCCCACTGATACCAATGATGGGGCACTATTCCTCCTACTGACACCAATGATGGGGAACTATTCCTCACACTGACACCAATGATGGGGCACTATTCCTCCCACTGACACCAATGATGGGGCACTATTCCTCCCACTGACACCAATGATGGGGCGCTATTCCTCCTACTGACACCAATGATGGGGCACTATCCTCCCACTGACACAATGATGGGGCACTATTCCTCCCACTGATACCAATGATGGGACACTATTCCTCCCACTGACACCAATGATGGGACACTATTCCTCCCACTGACACCAATGATGGGGCACTATTCCTACCATTGACACCATGATGGGGCACTATTCCTCCCACTGACACCAATGATGGGGCAACTATTCCTCCCACTGACACCAATGATGGGGCACTATACCTCCCACTGACACCAATGATGGGGCACTATTCCTCCCACTGACACCAATGATGGGACACTATTCCTCCCCCTGACACCAATGATGGGGCACTATTCCTCCCACTGACACCAATGATGGGGCACTATTCCTACCATTGACACCAATGATGGGGCACTATTCCTCCCACTGATACCAATGATGGGGACACTATTCCTCCCCCTGACACCAATGATGGGGCACTATTCCTCCCACTGATACCAATGATGGGACACTATTAAGCATGCAACATGTTATTGAGGAGAGTAAAGTATTCGGGTTGTAGGGTAATTGGGGTGGGGTGGTGGGGTAGGGGGGTGTTGGGAGGGGATGGGTGGTGAGTTAAGGGTCTGAGAGTTATGGACAGGGTCAAAGGTTGGGTGGTAAAGTTATGGGACATGGTTAAGGTTTGGGGGTGAGAGTTATGGACAGAGCCAAAGGTTGGGTGGTAAAAGTTATGGGATAGGGTTCGGGTTTGGGGGGGGGTGAGAGTTATGGACAGGGTCAAAGGTTGGGTGGTAAAAGTTATGGGATAGGGTTCGGGTTTGGGGGGGGGTGAGAGTTATGGACAGGGTCAAAGGTTGGGTGGTAAAAGTTATGGGATAGGGTTCGGGTTTGGGGGGGGTGAGAGTTATGGACAGGGTCAAAGGTTGGGTGGCACGAGTAATGGGGACATGGTTACGGGTTAGGGAAGTTACGTTTTAGGGTTCATTGTGGGGGTGGGTCGTGTTTTAGGAAGGGGAGGGCTTTGGAATGGGCGACATCTTGCTCACCATCTCTCTCCTCCGGGTGCCTTTTGCCATAAACTGCCAGGAGCTGAGAAGCAATGTACCTCCCGAAGCCCCCCGGTGTAGCCAAGGTAGAATGTCCACACCAAGAGCTATTGTCCTCCTTGTGGTCAGGAGTTTCTGTAGCACGGGTCCCATTCCCCCTCCATTCACATAACCACTCGTTTTCACCTTGGGTGAACATATCTTTTTGTGTTCTTCTCCCATTTCTCCATTTCTCCTACCGTCCTAGGAATGAGGACAACCTATCCCAGGGGTAGCAACCTGCAGCTCTCTTGCTGTTGTGGAACTACATTTCCCATGAGGCATTGCAAAGATGACAAAATTGACAGTTACAGCTGTGACTTGCAGAGGCATGATGGAACTTGTAGTCCTGCGGCTCTCAGGTTGCCTTCCCCTGGCCTAGCCTTTCACTAGATGTGCCGGGCGCCATTTGCAGCCTGAATTTGTTATAAATCCTGAATAATAATAATAATTTCTCTT